TGGCTTAATATTGCCCCGAGGGCTCTGAAGTGTTCTTTTGGTCCACTTACACATTCTTCAGTCAGACTCTTTTTTTCTTTCCTCTTTGAAGGATATCATTCCTTTTGGCAATAACCCCGTGTTCCGTTACCTGTTTGGCTGGATGGTCCCCCCAAAAATCTCTCTGCTGAAGCTCACCCAAGGAGAAGCCATTAGGAAGCTGTATGAGCAGCACCACGTTGTGCAGGACATGCTGGTGCCAATAAAGAGCCTTGAAAAATCAATCCAGACCTTCCACGTTGACCTTAATGTAAGAACACATCTCCTTAGAACTCAGCAAATCTTGGGTTGTTTGTGATAAGGACTGTGACTGCTGATGTTAAGACATAATATCCTGCTTGTGCAAAAGGTCATTATTGTGTCCTGGGGAGTGCTGTGCTTTGTGAGCCCATGATGCAAGGCTGCAGCAGAAATAAACACAGCTTTCTGAAAAAGAGAAACATTAAAGAAAAGATTCAAGCTTTGGTAGAAGCTGACACTTCTAAAAGATTTTATCACTTACTAAAATTTGAACTTCACCTAAAATGATTGCTGGTCTAACCAAGCACCAACTGTGGAGCTTAATTTCCCTTTCTTGCTTTTATTTCTGAATTTATTTTAGCTAGTGTAGAATTTTCAGTTTTGATAATTTCAGTTTTGGACTGACCTGGAAAAGAAAACACTTTTCTTTTTTTTTTTGCTCAGAATGTTTATTCACTTGTTGCTTTGAGATCAGGGGTGGTTTATTTGTGGGTGGTTTTGGATTTTTTTTTTCCCTTTAAATTTCAAATGTTTAAGGGGAGGAGATGTAATTCTAGGAGGACATTTTTCAATCTGTTTGTGTTATGCTCATTAGAAAGTATAGTTAAAAACAACACCAGGACACCTGAGAAGGAAAAGCTGAAAGCAAAAGTTTCAGTCTAAGATTGGGAGAAAGTTCTCTTAACTCTTTATTTTGCCACATTTGTGAAAGATCTTAAAGGATGATTGTGTTAAAAAATAAGTGATAAAGTGTTTTGCTGCCCCTGCAGGTGTACCCTATTTGGTTGTGTCCTTTCATATTGCCCAACAATCCTGGTATGGTCCATCCCAAAGGAAATGAAGCTGAACTCTACGTGGATATAGGAGCTTATGGAGAGCCCAAAAGCAAACAGTTTGAAGCCAGGGCTTCAATGAGGCAGATGGAAAAGTTTGTAAGAAGTGTGCACGGGTAAGGACCCCACTCCTCAGAACAGTGATAATGTCACATATAATTCACACCCACGTGGTTTAATCACAGTTATTTATCCCACAGAACTTTAATATTAAATACTGCATTAATTTAACAACCACAATAATTGAAAACTAATTTAAATTTCTAATTTTGGTGAGTGTCAAATATGATTTCACTTTATTATTTGATTGCAAAACCAACCAACCAAAGGACACACTGGCTGAAGTTCTCGTGGTGTAGTTGGAAGCTGGGTGACTTCAGATCACCCTTCAGCTCCAGGCTGCTCTGGGAGCAGAGTCTGCTGCTACGAAATACATCCTTGGAATATTCATTCCAAGGAATGATTCATTCAGGAATCTCCAAAGTTTGGACAGCTTCCCTGGCTGCCCTTGGGACTGTTCTCCCTGCAGTCGGAGCAGCTCTGCCCCGTCCTTGCACCGGATGTCCTTGCCCAGGGGGGCCAGCCTTGGCTGTCCCTGCAGTCAGTCCCTGTGTGCTGGTGGCTCTTCCCTCCCTCAAAACTTGTGCTCCAGAGCTTCCTTTTCCCTGCCTGGGTTCTGGTTGCACAGGACCACAGTGGGCGTGAGGCATGTGCCCACCATCTGTCACGGACTCGAGCCAGCCGAATTTGCTGGAGCGGTGTCAGTGGAGAAGCAGCCACAGGCTGGTTTCTCAGGAACAAAAAGCAACTAACATGGTATTTTTACACCATCAGTCTAATTTATCCCCATTTCTATTTTGACCTACTTCTCAGTCTAACAGTGATCATGTCCCATGTGGCTAAGCAATAATGGCAAGGCTGCTTCGAGATGATTTGGGGACTGCAAATGACTTCAAGCTGCAAGAAGTGATTTTCCAAAGAACAAAGCAACCCAAACTGAATTTTAAGCTTTTTTTTTATTAACTTGAAATTAAGATTTTAATTTAAAGCTCTTTACTGACAAAGTTGTGTCTGTTTTCTACCTGTCACTGGGAAATGAACAATGAATAATTGCTTAATCTTCCAGTTTCATAATCACACAAAACAATAGAGCTTCTATGTTAGGTTGTGTTTTGCTGCTGTACTCTGGTGGAAGCTGCAGCTTAGAGAGCACACTGTGGGAGTGAGGAAGAGTCCACAGCTGAAGAAGGATTTAATTTCTAAATGAACTTTTGTTACACCATGCTTTGTTTACACTATGAATTTATCTTCTTGGCCTGTTTCATTTTGCCTTCTTAGTTCTGTTCTTAATGTCCAGAGAAATGAAAAAGTCAAAGGATGTATTGTTAGATCTGTCTTGAATGGATATTGTAATGCAGGCAAATATGAGATTCTATGACTGTACCTACATGGATCCCAAGAAAATAGGCAGAAAAAAAATACTAAATCCACAAATTGGCTGAGTGTACCAACATAATCCATGTGAGCTGTCTTATTTGCTTGTTTTTAAAAAGCATTGTTGATGGTTTTGTTTGTTAAGTTTTTGCTATTCATAACTGAATTTTTTTTTTAATGTTCTATATCAAATCTTGTGGCTCAATTAACACTGAATCTCTGTCTCTTCTCTTTCCCTTCTCTCCAGTTTCCAGATGCTGTATGCAGATTGTTACATGACCCGTGAGGAGTTCTGGGATATGTTTGATGGCTCGTTGTACCACAGGCTGAGGGAGGAGATGAATTGCAAGGATGCCTTTCCAGAAGTGTATGACAAAATCTGCAAAGCTGCAAGGCACTGAGCCTGGCTGAGCTCACCAAGCAATCAGGGAAAGAGGAATTTACCTATAGCTAGTCAGTATATCCTTTAAAAAAAAAAAAAAGCTTTATTGCTCTCCAAATAAGCTCATTCTTATTGATGTTTAAAGGTATGAATTCCTGCTTTACACATTTATGTTTAGTATTTCTTCGTATGTTTTAAAACCAGTTTTCCAAACTCAGAGTGATTGTTTTTAAGAAATCTGAAGTGCTAGCCTTTGTATCTAATGTAGTGACATAGGTGAGTTCACCTATTTCCAGGCAGAAGCAAAATAATGGGAATGGATGAAGACACTGGAGTTACACCAGCTATATTTAACATGACTTATGAAAAACGGGAGGGAGGGCTCAGAAATAGGTGCCAAAGCTGAACACATTGTCTAATTAATCATGTTGTTAAAAACATTTGCCTCCAGTCAGTGTCCTGGAGCAGCTCTGCAGTGGCTCATCCCCACTCCATCCTCCTCCAGCTGCTTGATGGTGGTGCTGGGCTGCTCTCCTTGTCCTGCAGGGCAGCTGAGCTCCCCAGGCCTGGCTTCTGCTGGAAAACTGAGCACTGAGGTGTGAAGAAGATGCTTTTTACTTGTGCCTATCAGATTTGTACTGATTTTGATTATGAAGTATGAATGGATGTAGGTTTTTTTAGGTGTTTTGTAGTTGGCCAACAGTGCATTGGTTTTTTTGCCCCAAAGTATCAATGTTCTGGCTTTGTAGACCACTGAAAAAAAAAATTGCTGCTATTTCATATAGCCAAATTTTAATTTCTTTGTGGGTCAGTTTGTTTGGGTTTCTTTTGGGTTTGTGTTTTTTGGGGTTGTTTGGTTGTGGCTTAATTTTAGTGCCTTATAAGTACTCAGTTGGAGGAAGATATGGCTCATCTCAGATTGTTCTGTCCTGGCCTGTGGGAGAAGGAAGTCAAGGCTGCATTTTTAGGAGGTTTGTTAAAGCAAGTGGCTGTGGATAAGAACTCTTGATGTGAACCTTGATACACACAGGCTTTGGTTCTGACTTGAGTGACATTTTTGCTTTTCATTTTAGCTGGGTTAGGTTGATAGGCTTTGTAAAAGGACTGTTTCAGTCACCTGGAGAGGGAATAACAGCAAATACTGTTAGTTCCCTCTTCTGCTGCTCGCAGGTGAAAATGGCACAGTCGTGGACTTGATACACTTGAGTGTAGAAGTGTGGAGATGTTTTGACCCTGTAGCCAGAATCAGGGTTCCAATCCAAGCCTGTGTCTTGTCCAAGCAGTACTGAAAATTGTTACTTGAAACCCTACTGAGCCTGATGGAAAATAAAGTGATTTTCTTGAGGGTTGTGTAGGGGGTAACACGGAGAACTTCTCAAACAGTTACCAGTGGGAGGTGTAATTTTATTATGCGTGCTAAACCAATGATTTTATTTATTGATAGATGGATGTTTAAGGTCCAGATGAAACCAATGATAAAGCAGTAGCAGGAATAAGCTTGGGCTGTAACTCAGTGATGCAAGTAAGGTGCCCCCTCAAATCCTGCACAGGGGCAGCATTCCATGGGGAGACACAGCCAGTGCAGAGTATCCTCAGTGCTGCCCAGGCCCTGGAGCTGTGTCAGTGATCCAGGAGTGCCTGCCACGCCTCCTGGCTGCACCAGGGGTACACAGGAAGGCAAGTGTTGATTCTCAGGGTGTGACCTGCCTTCCTGCCCCCACGAGGGAATTGTCCCTGGGGTGAAGCTACGATTAGCCCAGTGCTTGTATAGCCTGCACAGAGCAAGAATGGTTTGGTTAGCTTTGAAAGGGCAATGTTACAACAGCTAGAGGATATGCAAATACTTCTACTTAGACTGTGTTCCACTTATGTACTGATGATCTTTAGGTATGCACTGTGTTTGTTTTTTCACTCCTTAATTTATTGGCAAACTTTGTATGCTGTGATGGGGTACTGCATTGTATCAGTCACACACATGCACACAAACCATTGCTGTTGCTCTTGGTTTTTGGTTGTATGGGCTGTTGAAAATAAAGCTCTGGCCGGCGTACTGTTCCAAGGGGTGTCTTTTAATGAGTGCTTGCTTGCTTTTCAGCAGCTGTTTATCATTTCTCTCTGCTTCTTGTGTTGTTCCACATGGCCAGTGATTACTGAGAAAGTCTGGCTGAGACACCCAGGGCATTGTGAGGGAGGTGCTGTTTGTAGGAATGTCTTTGAAGTCTGTGAACCTTCACTTATCTTTTCCCCAAGACACACCTGCAATAAAAGAAATACCTCATAGCTGAGCCTTTAACCCTTCACTTATGCCCCACTAGCTCCAGACAGCTTCATGATCCAATTGTTCATGTTCATGTCCAATTGTCAATTTTTTACACACACCACTTCCTTCTTTCTCCGTGACATTTTGTCTGAGGAGGACAAACTCCCATTTTGCATTTAGGTGCTACCCATTGACAATGGGTAATTACTTCATTCTTCTCATTTCATGCTAATAAATCTAATCCCTGCCTTGAATGAGCAGCCAACAGTGAGAGTCAAGACTCGGTGCACTCTGCAGCCTGAGGAGTTTCACACCCACCTCTTCTGTCTCCTTGATAAACGTCTTCATGCAGCTCTGTAGGCTCAGTGGGAGGTGCTCTGCCCCTCCCTGCTCACAGCTGGTACACCTTCTCCCCGGGTGCACATTGCTCTTTTCCCAGGGAGGAAGCCAGGCTGCCAAGTGCCTCAGCCCTGCTGAAGCTGCAGTTCAGGTGCCAAAGCCCTTCCATGCTGGCCTGGGCTCAGGCTGCATTGCACAACCCTCCTTTGTTGCCCCAGCAGTGTCTCTGTACCCTCCCTCACCCACATCACTGCTCAGGCATTTCCCTTCAGAGCCCTCCTCCTTTGGAACAATAGCCAGGATTTCCTTAACTCGCTGCAGTTTTACCTGTGTTCCATTATCTTCCCCCCACCAAATGATAATTACAGATTAATTAGCAAACTTAATCAGCCATACTAATGTGTAATTACACCTAGATTTAATTATTCCAGTCTGGTCTAAACACTTGTACAAGACCTGATAAACTGAACTTTAGGAGAACAACATGTTCCCAGTACATTTTTATGGCCAGCTTTTGTTGCTGCTGACATTTTCTGCTCATCTCACTTTCTCCACTGCCTCCAGGTTTTCATTCCCTGCTCATCTTTGCTATGGTAACACTTTTTCAGACCCACTTTTCTGTGGAGTTGTGGTGGACCTGGGGCTACTCAGGTGTGGCAACACCACCCAGAACAGGTATGTGCAACTCCTCTGGGTGGTAGCAGAGTTTGGAAGGACGTGTTTAACCCTGTGTGAGCTGTGTGTGCCATCGCACCTTCCTTGGGAGGATGTGCGGGATCTGCATCCTCTTCTCATGTAAGTAATTTCTCTAAAGTCCCAGCTGAAAATAGTTAATTACTGCTCAATTGCAGTGTCATTGCCCCCCTCCTTTAAGTCTCTGTGTTCAGCCAGGCAGAGAGAGGACAGGGAATCCTCTTTCATGCTTCCTGTCATCCCTATCTATCCTAGGGAAATTCCAGCAGTTTGTCTCTCTTGTCCTTTGCTCCTGGGCCTCCCTAGTTCCCATCCTGTGAACTGCAGGCTCCTGGCTGCTCCTGAGGTTCCCCCAGTTTGAGAAAGCCCCTGAGGAGCAGGCTGAGTGTGCCAGCACCAGAGCCACTCACCTCAGCAAGTGATCCAACAACAGTGGCACATCTTAACCAAAGGGAGCCCACACTGCAGGAGAGGGAGGAGGACACAGTGCCCAGGAGAGCCTCCCAGTCTCCTCCAGGAGCAGCTCTGGCCACAGCAGGCCATGAAGAGCTGATTATCCCTGCAGGCTTGAGCTCAGTCCCCTCCTGCCAGCTGCAGAGAAGGGCAGCAGTGTCACAACCTCCCCACTCAAGTGTAATCTGAACGTTCCCCACCAATTACCAGGATGTCTTGACCTCTTTCAAGCTGCCTGTTCCTCACTCAGCTGGATAAAGGAGAGAAGCCATGTGGATTCCTGCTGATCATCCCTAGCCAAGGTGGACTATTTCAGACTAAAGCCTTCCCTGTCTGCTTTGAGCCCTTTAGGCTTTGTTCTGGTTCTCCATGGGGAAGCTGCCAAGATGAATGCAGCTCCAGGAATGGGTACTGAGGGAAGGGCTCCTACCTGCACTGGCTCTGCAATGTGCTGCTGATGCTGCTAGAGGAAAAACTGGCTTTTAAGCAGCAGAGTATGACTTTTTTTGAGGATAGAAGGAGCTCCTGGCACCTAAAAGGACTCGAACCCAGCTGCCCTCATCCATGAAGTGCATCCGCTTGTTTGCAGGTGAAACAGAGCAAAACTAATGGGAAGGGTTGTCCAAGCATCCCTTGAAAAGGGCAAAGGCCTGAGGATGCAGGCAGAGGCAGTGTGGGCACTGCTGAGCTCCTGCCAGGCTCACCTGCCTGTGGGCAGCGTGTGCTCCCTGCTGTCTCACCATGATATTTTGTGGAAAATCCCTTCACCAGGATTTATTCTCCTGGCAAGATGAGAAGCCTCAGCTTCTCCATGTTTTGCTCCTCTGGAATGTGATTTGAAGAATTCTTTACCAAGCATGTGAATTGTTTTTAATTAATGGCCAATCACAGCCAGCTGTGTTGGACTCTGAGTCTGTCTCACGGGTTTTTATTTTTCATTCTTGTCTAGCCTTCTGATGTCTCTTTTTCTTTAGTATAGTTTTAGTATATAATTTTCTTATAATATAATGTCATAATATAATAAATCAGCCTTCTGAGAACTTGGAATCAATTTTCATCGCTCACCTCATCCTGGGACCCACAACACCACAACACTGCTGGGTGCTCAGCACATGCTGTGCTTCCACCCCAGGCTGCTCCCAGCTGGAGCTGGGTGTCCTGGACCATCCTGTGCAAGGAGCTGCTTCCCAGTGGGCACAGACAGGCCGGGAGGTGAGAAGAGCAACCCCAGTAAGTCCAGCTGCCCCCACACATCCAGCTCTCCCCTGGCTGCCCATGTCCCCAGGACTGCCTGCAGGCACACGCTGACAGCTCTGGTCCCCAAGGGGATGGTGGCAGCCCTTGCCATGGCAACCATCACCGTGGCACCCAGCATCTCCATTCCCCAGGGAATGTCCCCTCCCCTGTGCAGGCAGGGCTGGAAAACAGCAGGGAAAAAACAAAAGTGTTGTCTGCTCAGGGGGAGCTGTGGAAAGCACCCAAGGGTTACCCCACAGGGAGCCCCTGCACCTGGGGTAGCTGCCAGGCTGCAGGGGCTATGCAGTAATTTTATATTCCCCAAGGGGCAAATCAAAGGCAGGACCTGTAACCACCACTCCACTGGGCATAAAAACATTGTCCAGCAGTTATAGTAACATCACTGGAGGGGATCAAATCGGTGAGCCAAGGGTGTGAGCCAGGACTGTGGGGGCACAGACCCTACAAGCTGTGTAAAGCCTGTCCAAGGGCAGATGGGATGTGCCACCCCCCTGTGCCCACCCCGAGCCCAAACTGCAAATCCTCTGCAGGATGGAGAGAGGTTTGACCACTGAATGACTTGGCCTCTCACCTGCCCTGACTTCTCTTCCCTAGCCCTGCCCTGGTGCTTCCTGGGGATGCTGCTGGAAAGGGAAGAACCATTTTCCACCGGCCCAGTGGCTACTCTCACACTGACCCCTTGATCTCTTTGGTGCTGTGCCAGGCACTGATTCAAGACAGCTGCTAGTGCCTTGTTGGTCTCTCATTTATCTTCTCCCCATCCTCAGCATTTTCCCTCCCGGAAATCCCTCGGGGCAAGGAGTGAGGCCCCAGACAGGAGCCGAGCCCCTCCTGTGCAGGGCACGCCCCTCCCAGGCCACTCTTTTGGCCCCAGTGCCATAAATCAGCCCCAGCAAAGCAGCAGGGGAGCAGTTTGGTGAAAGGCTGCAGGGACAGCAGTACCTTTATTAGGTTCCCCCAGCACAGCTGGAAAAAATAAGGAGCCCAGACAGGCTTTCAGGCACATAACCCCTGGGCTGAGCCCCGCACTCAGTCCTGTCTGCTGATTTAATAAGAGATCAGCTTTCCCCACAGACCACATCTCCTGTGCAGCCTTAAACCCTCCTGGTTAAAACACTGCCCTGGAGAATCAATCCAAGATGGTTTTGTCCCTTTGATCAGCACAGCAGGTAATAAGTCACCGATGGAAATGTGTTTCACTTCTCTGGCTCCAGCAATAGAAATGGAGACAACCCCTCTGTCCTGGTGAAAATCTCACAGTGCCTGGGGAGATGGACAAAGGGGTTTGCAGTGTGGCTCTGGAGATCCCCATGGACACACAGCAGCACCTGGGTGTCCGAGGTGTGAGCACATTCCCTTCCCACAGGATCCATCCTGATCTCCAGCCTCACAGACAGCCACAGCGTTTGCAGTGCCTAATTGTGGTGACAAACATGGAGGGAGAGGTGATTGCCTGACAGAACCAGGGCAGGCTGGTCTGGGAGCTGCCAGGGAACCTGGGCCAGATCCCAGCACGGAGCTGCTGAGGGACTGCCACAGCTCCCTCTGGGCACACAGGGTGTTGAGTCACCTGGCAGAACTGGCTCAACTCTTTAATGACTTTAATGCTTCTAGATAACCTGGAGCATCAAAGATGTGCCCTTTAGTTCCTTGCTTTTGCTCATTTCCAGCCCTCTGTAAACATGGGGATTTCACATTATAAAAGCATTGTGAAGATTTCTTCAAATCCCATTTTTAAAATAAGGATTCATTCTTATTTCCCTCTATTTAAAAAGGATTATTTAACTCTTCTTTGAAGTGCTGTCTCCTACTCCAGTGGAGTACTTTACTTTCAGGGACCCCTTTTGTCCTGTCTCTATTTGCTCTTTTTTTACTGTTACACAAGGGTGGGCATTGTGCAAGAACTGTTCCTGCTGGACAGAACTCCTGGGCCAAGCCGTGGAGTTTGACCTGGCTGATGCCATTCCCAAAGTGCAGCTCCTCAGGGACAAATAGGAAACATTTGGCATCGAGTGCTTTGAGCAGGTCATTGCCCTGGTGTGAAAAATGCATATTTTATGCGTATATTTTGCGTAATTTGGCTTTTCACAAATATTAAAATGAATATATGTGTTCTGTTAGAAAGTTATGCTGCATTATTTTTTTTAAGTAGTGTGTTAAATATAGTTTAGGTTATAACAATGTTAAAATATGCTATGTAAGATACTTTTTCTTAAAGAAAGGAATTGCAGCGAGATAGCAGCCACAGGACATCTAAATCTTTCAGAGAAAGAGAATTTATTGCTCTCTTATCAGAAGAAACAAACTTCTTCCTGCCTCATTCAGGCCTGAAGACACCATCAGGGTTAAGAGGAAGAAGCTGACACTGACCAGACAGAATCCTGTATTTGAATGGAATTTATGCATCATGTATGAGGTGTATGAATATGCAACAGGCTGTTGTTTTTAAGGGTTAATCCTCTGTTAACGTGTGTCCTTTTTCAGGCTTATTTTGCCCAGAAAAAGGTACCTGGACTGTCCATAACTCTTTGTTTCTATTGTCTCATATTGTCCTAATCCAAACTGTCTAAATTATTATTACGCTAATTGTATTGCTATTTTTATAACCATTTAATTACCATTAAACTTTTAAACTTTTAAAAACGAGTGATTGGCGTTTTTCACACCCCAGGACCAGCGGGGGCGGATGGAGCTGGCAAAGCGCTCTGTGAGGGGATGAACGCCACTTCTTCCAAGGGCAGGACAGACAAATGGCCACTGTCCCTCAGAGCCGATGGGACGGCAGCGAGTTCCATAGCAGCAGCCTCTCCCAAGAACCGGCACCTCCTCGGCTTTCCAAGCCTTGGAAAGGCGCCCTAATTATGAAGGGACGCCCAAATCCTGACGGCGCCGGTCCTGTGTGGGCCCTGTCCCCCTCCCGCCCGGCAGGGGGCGCCCGCCGCGCCCGCCGGAACCATAGAGAGCGGCGCGCCGCCCAGCTCTCCCCGCGCGCGTGTGTCCGGCCACGTGACAGGGAGGGGCTCCCCATTGGCCGCGCCGGCGGGGCCGGGCGCGCGCCCCCCGCGGCTGTAAGTGCGCGCGCGGGCGTGCGTGTGCACGTGTGCGAGTGAGTGTGCACGTGTGTGAGTGTGTGCACAGGTGTGTGCGCTCAGGTGTCTGTGCAAGTTTGTGAGTTCTCAGGTGTGCGAGTGTGCACGTGTGTCAGTGCTCAGGTGTGTGTGCGTGCTCAGGTGTTCCTCCGCGGCATCCCCACCTGTCCGTGCCCATACCCGTACACCCCGGAAGGTGTTCGCTCCCGCGTGTGCAGCCAGGTGTGTGTGTGCGGGTGTGCCCGGGCCGTGTCTGCGTACCTGTGTGTCCCGGAAAGCGCGCAGGGCTGTGTGAGCGCTGTGCAGCGCTCGGCTGTGACGGGGCACCTGTCTGTGCACACCTGGGTGTGCGTGCCCAGGTGTGCCCGTGCAGCATTCCCGTGTCCGTGTATTGACCTGTGCATCCCGCAGAGCGTTCACCTGTGCACCCAGGTGTGTGTGGGTCCGTGCGAGCTCTGGTGTCCCTGTGCCGGTGGCTGCAGCCCCTGACCCCGCTGTGTCCCGTCTGCCTCCACAGCCCTCTCGGTGCCACTATGGAGGCCTTGCTCAGGAGCTGCCGAGTCCCGGCGCTGGGTGCCCGTCACGGCGGGGCCAGGGCCCAGCACAGCGGCGGCACCGCGGGCAGGGCCCGGCGCCTGCTGCTCTCGCAGCTCTTCCAGCCGCTGGCGCTGCCCACGGGCGGCCAGGCGGGCTCCGAGGGCCGGCCCGGGGAGCCCAGCTGCCGCAGCCAGCGGCTGATGCTGCAGGCAGGGCTCATCCACCCCACCAGCCCCGGCTGCTACTGCTACCTGCCGCCCACCGTGCGCGCCATGGAGAAGCTGATCAAGCTGATGGACCAGGAGATGCAGGCCGTGGGCGGGCAGAAGCTGAACCTGCCCAGCCTGTGCTCAGCGGAGCTGTGGCGCGCCAGCGGCCGCTGGGACCAGATGGGCCCGGAGCTGTTCCGGCTGCTGGATCGGCACAAGCACGGCTACTGCCTGGGCCCCACGCACGAGGAGCTGGTGACGGCGCTGGTGGCCTCGCAGAGCGGCCTGTCCTACAAGCAGCTCCCGCTGCGCCTCTACCAGGTCACCAGGAAGTTCCGTGACGAGCCCAAGCCCCGCTTCGGCCTGCTGCGCAGCCGGGAGTTCTACATGAAGGACATGTACACCTTCGACAGCTCCGAGCAGGCAGCCCGGCGCACCTACGAGCAGGTGTGCGCCGCCTACTGCAGCCTCTTCACCCGCCTGCGGCTGCCCTTCGTCAAGGTGCGGGCGGCCACGGGCAGCATCGGCGGCAGCACGTCCCACGAGTTCCAGCTGCCAGCGGACATCGGCGAGGACAGGCTGCTGCTGTGCCCTCAGGGACACTTCGCGGCCAACGTGGAGACGCTAAACGGGGAGCAAACCTCGTGCCCTGAGTGCGGGGAGAAGCTCAGCGAGACCAAAGGCATCGAGGTGGGGCACACGTTTTACCTGGGCACCAAGTACTCCTCGGTCGCCAACGCCGTGTTCTCCTCGGCCGAGAACAAGCCACAGCTGGCAGAAATGGGCTGCTACGGCCTGGGCGTCACCCGCATCCTGGCGGCCTCCATCGAGGTGCTCTCCACCGAGGACAGCATCCGCTGGCCCAGCCTCATTGCGCCCTACCAGCTCTGCTTCATCCCCCCCAAGAGGGGCAGCAGGGAGGAGGAGGAGGGAGCGGCGCTGCTGGAGCAGGTGTACGATGAGCTGGCCCAGGCGCTGCCCCAGCTCGCCGGTGACGCGGTGCTGGATGACCGGAGCCAGCTGACCATCGGCAAGAGGCTGAAGGATGCCCAGAGGCTGGGCTACCCCTACGTGGTGGTGGCTGGGAAGAGGGTCTGTGAGGACCCCCCGGTCTTTGAGGTTTGGGATCAGAATGCCGGCGAGGTTTTGTTCCTTACCAAAGAAGGAGTCATAGAGCTGCTGAGTAAAGTGCAAGTCCCTTAAATGGCTCCTCTCTGAATCCGTCATGTCTGCTGCAGTGAGTTCATCTGAGCAGCCCTGGCAATGGCTCTGGGTGAGCAGAGGCAAATCCAGCTCATGTCAGAGCCAGCCATGGTGTCCTGCAGGTGTGCCAGGTGCTGAGGTTGAGCTGGAATCAGCACACATCCCACCACATGGCTGGGGACGTTCCTTCCTCTGGGTACAGGTCCCTGGAAGTTGCTTTTTTCAGCACTTGTAGCCTCGTGTGGCTGTGGGAGCACTGGCAGGGCCATCCCTTCACTGCCTGGCAGGGACAGACTGGCCATGGCCTCTGTCAGGAGCACAGGACACCCAAAACTGCACAGGGGGACAGGAGGGCTCCCCTCACTGCCATGTTCTCAGCATGAAGGATTGTAAGAGAGACAAAGGAAGGTGACTTTCCTCTGTTTGCATCTCTTTGGGAACGCCTAGGGCCCATGAAGGTGGAAGATTGCCGTGGCAGGGCTCCTGCAAGGAACTGCTTGGTGCCATCCCATCAGCACTGATGGGACAGGGAGCTGCTTGGAGGGGTCACCTCACCCTGTGCCACAGCTCCTCGATCTGAGATCTAGAGATCATGAGCAATACTGTAATAAAATCACTGAATCAAAATGCCTTTAAGATCATTGAGTCCAGCCATTAACCTGAGCTGCCAAGGCCACTACTAACCCATGTCCCCAGGTGCCCAGGTGCCATACCCACTGCCCCTTAAATCTCTCCAGGGATGGTGACTCCATTGCTTCCCTGAGCTGTTCCAATGCTTCACAACCTGTCTGATAAAGAGCTTTTTCCTAATATCCCTGCTGGGCGGGCGGGGGGGGTGGGTCGAAAGCAGTAGGGTTGGGGCTGATGCCGGTGCTGATACCGATGCCAATACCAGTGCCGTTGGGATGCCGGGGCTGCTTGGAAGGAGCGGGGCTGGGGTTGAGGCGGAGGAGGGTGGGATGCCAATACCGGTGGGATGCCCATTGCCGGTACCGGTACCGGTCGGATACCGGGGCGGGTGTAACGCCGGTGCCGGTGGGATGCCGGTGCCGATGGGAAGGAGCGGGGCCGGGCCTGACGCGACGGGGGCGGTGGCAGGCGGGGCCGGGCGGCAGCGGGAGGAGCAGCGGCAGCATGGCGGAGGCCGAGCAGGACGGCGTGTCCGGAGCCCCGGCGGCGCCGCCGCGGTACCGGGGAGCGCTGCACCCCGACACGTGGGAGCAGGTGAGGCGGCGGGGCCGGGCGAGGGGCCGGACTCGGGGCGCTGTATGCCTGTCCGTGTGTCCGTCCGCAGGAGCTGGAGGCCATCCCCATGTTCATGAAGCGCTGCCCGGCCGAGATCGACGCGGCGCGGCAGCCCGAGCTCGCCTGCCTGCAGTCGCTGCTGTTCGACGAGGAGCGGAGCCCCGCAGGTGCGCCCTGCCCTGCCGTGCTCGGGTGAGGTGCTAACCCTGCCCCAGCCTGACCCCCTGCATCCCCGCAGAGCTGGCCAGCATGTACAAGAACGAAGGGAATGCGTACTTCAAGGAGAAGGACTACGGGAGAGCTCTGGCCGCGTACTCGGAGGGGCTGCGGAGGCGCTGCGGGGACGCGGAGCTGGACGCGGTGCTGCTCACCAACCGGGCGGCCGCACAGTTCCACCTGGGTAAGGGCTCCCACCGCCTGGGAACGCGGCTCCGCGCTCCAGAGCTGCTTCTCCTCCCCTTTTGGGGTTTTCTTTTTGTTTGTTTTGGTTGTGTGATAGGTTATCCGTGAGAAGGAGGCGAAGCCTGAAGAGCTGGCTCGCTTCAGCACATGGCTGCGTGCAGGGTTTGTTCTCTGCTCCTTGCAGCTGTTACCTGCTGCTCGAGCCTTGGCTCCAGGACAGGGCAAAACCAGTGGGTTTTTTAGTCTGTTCAAAAATAGACTAGTTTGGGTTGGAATTGATGGATGACCTTTAAAGGCCGTCTGGTCCAACCCCTCTGCAAAGAGCTGTGACATCTTCAACTAAAGTTTGTTCAGAGCCCTGCCCAGCCTGGCCTTGAATGTTTGCAGGGATGGGGCTCCTACCACCTCTCTGGACAACTTCTGCCAGTGCCTCACCACTCTCATTGTCAAAAATTTCTTCCTTATATCTAATGTAAGTCGACCCTCATTTAGTTTAAAACCATTACTTGATGATTTTGGAGGTGTTTGCCAACCTTAATAATTCTGTGATTCTCTTACAGCTACCACCATCCTACCAACAGGGAGGGTGTTCTGGCCCTTTTAGTGCTGCTGTGTGTTGCAGCAGGGAGGTGACCTGATCACACCACCTTATTTACCTCTCACCTGTGTGACTGATCTCTGTCCTTTCACTTCTTGTTCTTAATTTGCTCTTTTTTTACCCTCCTCTCACCTCGCTGTGATTGTAGGAGCAGTGAATTACAGAGTCTCTGCACAAACCATTTTGTCACCTTGGTGTCTGGTTAGATTTTAAATACAAGTGAAGGTTTTAAATAGATTTTAAATACAAGTGAGCACTTTTACTTGCTTTACAGGGAACTACCGTTCTGCTCTCAATGATGCCATCCAAGCCAAAAAGCTGAAGCCCACCCATCTCAAAGCCATCATAAGAGGTGAGAGTTAAAGCTGGTGCTGCTGCATGGAGCACCAAGAGTCCTTTCCAAATGCTTGGCTGATGTTAACTTTACTGATTGTGCTGCTATTGTTACCAGCCCTGAAACAGGCTGTTGTTATTTGTTGCCTTGTTTCCTTGCGTGTTTAATAATTGTGTTTATAAAGCTGAAATTACCGTGAGTGGGCATCATACTTTGTTTCTGGACAGAGTTCATTTCAGAAAGGGAAAGCAGTTACTGGAAGAGATCTCTTCACTTGTTGTTGCTGTTTCTCCCCAAAACAGAGCTCTGCCTTTTGCTTTGCATTTTCAATCAAAATATCCTTTTGTTCTTCATCTCCTATATCTATCAGAGGCACTGTGGAGCACAGGATAACTTTTCCTGTTTTCCACAATGCTGTTCTTTTTTCCCACTCCATAAAAATCCCCCTCTTATTTTTCCTAACAAAACAAATACTGAAATGTTAATTGCAATGATAAAATTTTGTTTGTAACAGACACTTCTAGCATAATTCTGCTGATTTCTGTGACTAAGTGATGTAAGAACTGATTAAATACTTTAAATTTTCTTCTCAACTGACCTGCTGGAAGTTTCTGGTTGAACATGACCACACAAGACAGAAATGTTTAGTACAGAAGTGCCAGACCTAGTGCTGTCTATATAATCACCACTTTTGCAGTAGTTGTACTCTGACTCCAACACTGGAAACTTAAAACATTCATCCTTCCAGGAGCTCTCTGTCACATGGAGCTAAAGAATTTCGTGGAAGCAATAGCATGGTGTGAGGAGGGCTTGCAAATAGACTCAAAAGAGAAAAAGCTCGTGGAAATGAGAGCTAAAGCTGACAAATTAAAGGTAAGGATGAAGGCAGGCTGGCATCTGCAGTGCTTCTCTCTTTGGGGTCCCTGGAGGGGTTTCTGTGTAGTGTGGCTCCCCAAGCAGGATGGAGTGGTGCTTCCATGGGCTGTGTTGGGATGTGCCAGGGATAGGAGCTGGAGGGAACCTTCCTGGGGACCCAAACTGATTTCTCCAGCAGGAGGAAATGTCAGGGAAGAGCAGTGGTGGGCTCTGACCTGCTCTGTGTGGGCACTGATGGGCACTGACCTGCTGTGTGTGACCTCAGTTCATCCTTTCCTTGCCTGTAGCGAATTCAGGACAGGGATGCCAGGAAAGCAAAGGTGATGGAGAGCAAGGAGCAGCGTCAGAAGGAAATTTTACTTGCAGCAATAAAGGTGAGTCGCTGAGAGGGGCTGGTTATCTGTGGTTTGGGGTTTTTTTTTTAAGAGCTCTCTCTTTTTTCTCTAAAAATTGGATCTCATACATTGGCTTTTGAGGGATAGAGCAAAAAAAATTTGAGTTAAAACCATGATTCTCCAGGCCTGCATGGCTCTAGCCCCACCTCCCAGCTGTCTGTATTTCAGGTAACAACTAATGCAAAATACAGACCCAGTGTTAGGAGATGGGCTGAGCTTTGTGAGTGCTCTGGCTGCAGCATCACATCAGCCCAGTGAACCTGGCTTTCTCTGCTGCCCACAGGCATTAATTCTGTGGAAGAATAGAAGATAACTGTTCAATAAGGTACAGGAGGGACTCAGTCCTGGATCCTCTCCTTCCTCAGTGAATGTTTAAACTACATTAACATATTTCAGGCTCTTACGTACAGTCAGATCTCTTCTGGTGTTGCTTTTCTGCTTTTCCAAGGAAAAGAGTGAGCTTTCTTCAGTTCTCTGAAAGAGTAGATGTTCTCAGGAGCTGGGGTGTGTAGTTGCACCCTGTAGTGATGCCTGGCAGACCCCAGAGAAAAGGATTTTAAATGCATCCCTTTCCACATGTGTTCTCGGGCTCTTCTCTCCACGTGTGGGTTCCTCTGGATTCCCAGCTCTCCTCATTTGGTCATGGATATCTGGCTGAAGTGTTCTGGGTTCTACTGGGAAGTCCAGTCACCTGAGTCTGATACTGTGGGAAAGCTTTGGAGCTGACTCATTAACCAGGACAGCATCATTTGACCTTTTGCTGACTGCTAATTTTTTGTTCTTATTCTCCCCGCCATAACTGTTGGATTTTTAGTTGGTTTTTGGTCTTTCCCCTCCATCCCCTCCAGGAAAGAAATATCAAGCTGGTTCTTGAGCCCTCAGATGAAGAAGAGGAAGTGTCAGATGGCCTGGCTGAGATATCCTTGGATGGGTTCCACTCTGGCAGTGCCATGGGGGCCAAGGTGCACTTGGATGCTGATGGCAGCCTGATCTGGCCTGTCCTCTTCCTGTACCCTGAGCACGAGCAGACAGATTTCACTGTGGCTTTCCATGAGAGCTCCAGGTAAGTGCTCTGCCAGCAGCATTCTTGCACTGAGGAGGTGTTTGAGCAGATGAGAACAGGCAGCAAGTGAAACACTGCCATGCTGGAGCAGCCCCAGATGTCTAATCACACAGCTGGCCCTGCTTTTCAGCAGGGGGCTGCACTCCATGGCCTCCTGAGGTCCTCTCCAACCTGAATTATTCTGTGATTTATCTAAATTTGTGCTGCAGACAAACACATTTAGCCAGGGTGGCTGAAGGGGCTTGGAGTGCAATTACTCAGGCCAATAATTAATTAGTGGCCAGGGATACCTGTGACCATCCACACATGTGGATTTTAGAGATTCATTAAGGTGCTGTTTCAAAGCCCTCCAAATAGATCTCAGAAAAAAAAAAAAAAGTTAAAAATTATTAAAAGCTTCCAAAGGGGACATTTCATAACCAGCAGTGACCCCAAAGTTCTCCTCAGGGCCTCCAGCAGATCTGGCTGAAGTGCTGCAGACCTTTCAGACTCAGACTGGCAAGCTCAGAATTCCACTCTCCTTGATATTAACTTCAATTTCTGATCTTGTAGTGTTGAACAGACTTGGAATTTGTAACTTTTTGTTTGTTGGAAGACGTATCCCTCAGATCTTTTAATAAGTTTAGGTTTTAAAATTCCAGTGCAAACAGGCTGGTAAAGTTGTGGTACTTTTATGGTAGTGTTCACTGTGCTTTTTTGTGACTAAAGGAAGTGTAAATGGATTTTTAGGACAAACTGGCCTCCCAACACTCCTCAAGTACCAAAATAAAGAAGCCTTGGACACACAGACATTTTCTCATCACTCTGATCTGGTGAAGCACGGGACTGTGTCAAAGGAAAATCCACTTTAGACAAAATGCAGGGTGTTTATTTGACATCTTTTTCAGTGTGAAAATGGGAAGTTAAAAGTAATTAGTCGTTGCACTGCTCAAATTTGAAGCCAATAACCTGAATTACAGGGCCTTGGATTTATTGAGAAAGTGATGAGTTTGAAGGGAAGGAACTATTGGTGATCTAAACTTACTTTCAAATCTGTTTAATTTGCTAATGTATTTTTGCTGTCATTCAAATGCAAGTGTACAAGTTACTGAAGCTGAGCACTTTGGCTAAGCTGACCAAGTGTATTTTGGCTTTTAGGTTTATTGATCATTTAATGGTGATGTTTGCTGAGTTACCTCCTTGGGATTTAGAAAAAAAGTACCTTCCCAACAGTCTTGAGGTGAGAAGTTTGACTTTCCTTCAATTTCAGGGTTGTTGTGCTGTGGGGTTTTTTTTTTATTTCTGGAGTGAGAAGGTGCACAGCTCTGAGGGTATGAAAGTGTTGGCATCTGGTTACCTTACACAGATGGGAATCAAGAGAGCTTAAACCCCTCACTTATAAACTCAAACATTGTCCACATGTGCTGACAGAATTCACTGATGAAAATGGAAGTTGTTTTCCAGTTACATTGTATTTGACAGAAGGTATTTATAGATATTGCTTAGATTCCATCTTTGCAACAATAATTAAGATTTAAATCATCAGGCTGATAGGTGGCCTGGTTTTTTAATTGCATTGTGGAGTTGGTCAATACAAATAAGAAAGTATTATTTTAAAAATAATTTCTTATCAGAGCTAAGTGGAGTTACTTGAGCACATAATCAGATCTAGATAGTATATCTCTATTAACACTTTAGCAAAGGAGGGTTGTGAGTCAGTGCAGCAGGTTTTGAGAATTTTTCTGAAGTTGTACATAGAAGGATAGGAATGTTTATTTTTCATTTTCCACTCCAGTGTCATCTGTGCCAGGCAGCAGCAGCACAACTCTGTGTACAGTGAGCAGACAGGTCCAGAAGGACAGTGGCTGTGTACTTTTCCAGGTTAAATCCTGTGTGTATTTACAGTCAAAGGCACCATTGCTGGATTTTAATCTCTTAAATCAACTCTCTTTTGTTCAAATACCTCTAAACCCACTCAGTTTATCTCATAACATTGCTGCATTTCACCTGTTGAAATGCAGCCCTTAGATTTGGATTGATTACCTGTAAAGCATGGGAACAGCCTGTGTATTTTGCCTTCCTGCTGCCACTGCCAGGAGAGCCTGAGCTGGTTTATACAGGGAAAACTTGGAATTCACACAAAGCAATTTCTGCCTTGCTGCATTTTGCATCCAATAGCTGGGTCAAGCTACAGAGGTTTGATAAAGCCCCAGCTGATAATGGTGTGCTGTTCCTGGGCTTTCAGCAGCTTAGTGCTTTCCTTCATGTACCTTAGGCATTTAATAACCACCACCCCCCCCCAATTTTTTTTTCCCAGCTCTATTTTGAAGATGAAGAAAGAGAAGAAATGTATGAGGTGAACCCAGAACACACATTGCTACAAGTGCTGCAGCATGAAAGGTGAGGCTGTACCTGTCCATGTCCAGGGGAGAAAAGGGCAAAAAGTATGAGTCTTAAGTCCAGTTTGTTCTTAAATAGTCCTAACTCTTCTCTGACTTTTATAGTCCTGCCTCTTGAAGGTATAAAGCTGCACAGATTTTGTGCCTGGCTTTAGCAACTTACACGTGTTTTCCCCCCAAAAAATGAACAGCTCTTTCCAGGCCTGGATGGAGATAGGAAAGGGAGCTGGGCACAGCTGAGCAGCACAGAAGAGCTATTCCAGATCCCATCTACTCAATACTACTTTAAAAAAAAAGAAGCAGCAAAACAGGCAGCAGCCTCTAAAGAGCACATTGAAGGTTAACAATGCTCTCGCTGTTCGTGCTGCTGTGTGAGCAGCCCCCGGCGCAGCACACAGCACTCTTCTGCTCTGAAACTGCCTTTCAGGAGTGGTGCTGTTGGTGAGAGAGAAGAATTTGCTGTTTGTGAAGCCAGAAAGTTCCTGTGCAGCCGAGTTGCAGCATCTCGTAGCTGGCTGGAGCTGCTGCTCAGCGTGGGGGGCTCGGTCTGTCCCAGTGGGAGCGGGATCTCTGTCACCCCATAAAACTCAGCAGTGCCCAAAGGCCCTCAGATTCCAAGCTGTAAGGGCAGCTGCAAAAGAGCCCTCCTTCCAGAGGGAGAATAACAGCTGCCTTAATTAAAAGAAGCTGTTGGGAGAGGAGTTGATTCATAAAACACTTCTCCTCAGATGTGCTTAGCCCTGGCTACAAGAGGCTCTGCTAATCAGCACAAAATCTCATCTCCAGCCTTTGGGGGGTCAGTCTTTATGGAGCTGGGCAAGAGTGACTTGCTTTGCAGGACACTGGGCCAGCTACAAAGAAGCCAAGGACTCCTTTTGATCTTTGCAGGTATTTTGTAAAGGCCGGGACCCCGACAGTTTTAGTGTTTGCCAAGCGTTCTCCTTTCTCTAAGAAATACTTCTCTGGCAAGAAAGTGCATCGACTGTAATGAGCAAGAAAGAAACAAGGAATCCTGTGCAAGAGGCTGCTGTTTGTCAGCCCAGCTCCAGGCTGCAGACTTCTGCTTGAACAAAAATACCTTGCACTCTTCAGGGGAGGAAAATAATCTTGGCACACAGGGAAACTTCCAGGGGAGCAGCACAGGAGAAGGAAGGGCTAACATGAGGGGATTATTTGTTTAAAAGGGAACCCAGCTGGCTTGCAGAAGGTCTCCTCTATGATAGGCTGCATGTGGTTTTGAAATAAACCTGAAGCAGTGCCAAGCACTGGCTGTGGTTGCAGTAAGAGCAGCTGGGAATGTACTTCCTTACCTGAGAACATCACAGATCTGCTCGGGGGTGGGCTGTGGCTGCTGGGGTTCAGCAGCAGTGGCCTGGGGAGGAACCTGCCTGTTGCAGCAGGGTGGATGCAGTCAGGTTCCTGTCTGGGACTCAGCAGCTGCTGCTTTGTCCCTGCTTGGCTGTGCTGCTGGCCAGGCTACAGCAGAGCTCTTTGTTTGGAGCAGTGTTTGACTGACCCTTTTGATACCTTACTGAATGTCCTACAGAACCTGGAATAAACATGGCTATTTTAAGTAGACTGACTTCTGCCTAATGAACGAGACAACAGTTTGTCTCACCTTGTGAAATGCCAGAGAATGACAGACACTGATTGTAAACCCCAACATAACACCCTTATCCATTACACTAACAGGCAGGGTCTTCTGTACTTCTGTATTAGCGTTTGGCTTTTAATCAGAAGTAATTGTCAATCTCTCATTTATTTCTCTCCTGCAGGAATGTAAAATGTCTAAAGCACACTGTAGCTTTAGACACGGGGCATTAGAAAGCTGTTCAGCCATAAAACACTCCTGCTTCCATCACAGAGGCTGGCTGCAGGCAGCTCTAGAGAAAACATTTCCCAAATTTCAACACAGCAAGAGTCTCTCCACCCGAGGATGCTGCAGTTTAATGCCCAGAGCTGGGGTTGCTTTACAGCGAGGCAGCAGGGGCTGGGCACTGTGCAGCCACCAGCTGGCAGTGCCCTCAGAGGGCAGAGAGCTGGCCAGCCAGGTGCTGCAGGCTCAGCCCGTTGCACAGGATGCACAGGAGGTTGCAGAGCGAGGACAGAGTGTGGTGGAGGGCGAAGCTCCGCGCCAGCCGCCTGTACCTGGGGTTGGAGGCACGGAGCTGCCTGCGGGACTCGCTGGCTGCCAGCCCCAGCTCCTGCTCCTGCCCCAGCCCGTGGCTGTTCTCCACCTGCTGCAGCTCAGCCACCAGGTCGGAGGCCACCCGCCCGAAGCACTGCGTGTTCAGCACAGAGGCAGCGATGCACACGAGGAAGATGATGATCTGCAGGGAGCAAAGCCACCCCGCGTGTGGGGGGTTCAATTTCTCCCCCAGGCCCCCTGGCTCGCTGTAGTTTGGGTGCTTGGGGGCTTCTTTGAACTGTGTGTGGGTCTCTGTGGTTTGCAAGCCAGCCAGAGGAGCAGAGGAAGGGGTTGGGGCTGTGTGTGAGGAAGAGGGAGGTTACCTGGGTCTTGTGCTCCTGGCTGAGCTGCTCGCTGGGGTGGGACATGGCAAACAGGGTCAGGTTGAGGAAGGCACAGGTGGAGCTGATGTGGAAGTAGTAGGGGAAGAGCTCGCGCTGGATGGAGCCGAAGGTGTGGCGAGGGAGGCGCCTGCTCATCACAAAGCCTGCGAGGGGAAGGGCAGGTGAGTCCTGGGGCAGAGCCCCCTCCCTGTGCCACCCCCCTGGGCAGAGAGCACAGCACAGCCCAACCTACCGGCCACGAAGGTCACCCAGACCTGCATTCCCCAGGAGGTGGAGAGGACAAGCAGGTGCAGCAGTTTGATGGCGTTGGAGGGCTCCGTGTCACTTGCCATGGCGTGCTGGATGGGGACAGGTCCCTTCATGTCAGCCAGGTCACCCCGAATTCGGCGCTGAGCTGTGGTTGCTGCTGTCACCTTGCTGCTCACAGGGCAAATGCAGTTCAGGTTCACAAACCTGCTTACTCAGGGAAAGCTTTGGAGCTGGCACAGCCCCGTTCCAGCCTCACCACCACCACACACCCGACCGGGCTGCAAAGCCGCTCTTCAATCCCCTCGTATCTCAGGGCAGGGCACTGCGTCAGCACCTGGGAGCCACATGCCTGGGGTGGACTTTTGGCAAAGTCCAGCCAACGCCCCGCTGACCCCTGGCAGCAGGAACAGGCAGAAAGTCAATAAAAAGGGGAAGAGTAAAGCTGGGACAAATTCACCTGCCTACACTGTGGCCATCGGAGGCTTCCTGGCCAGGGGGAAGTCTCCTTGTTTAAAAACAGAACAGTTTCTGCACTGTTTAACCAAAAACCTGGGGGCTCAAAGGAGCAGGGGGGCTCCCAGGCTCACCCCCCTGCCCCAGACCCTGCACAAGAGCACAGACAGTGGGTGGAGGGAGGCTTTGAAAAAGCTGCCTGATCCACTGCAAGGAGTGCTCTGAAAATTAATTAAAACAAAGCTTCTGGGAGTAGCCCATCAATACTGCTGCCTGCAGAATTCCTCCTCCTCCTCCTCCCCTCGGCTGCTGCCTCGGGGCATGAATTACAGCAGGGCTGGCCTTGAGAGAGACACTGCCGTGTGATTCTATCCCACTCCTGCAAAGCAGATAAATATGCCCTGTATTGTGATATATTAGCTCCATGTATTTATTTAGGCACCCATAAAATCAGGTCCTTAAACCTTCTCATGATGGCAGCACACCAGAGAAGGCACCCACATCCAACCTGGAGTGCTGGCCTGTAAATCCCCAGCTGTATTCATGGCCTTTTCTTTTCCAAGAGCTTCTTGGCGTTTTGGGGATTTTTCCCTGCTCCATCCAGGATGGCAGGGGCCCAGGCAAGGCAGCCGTGGTCCTTAGGTGGGGCTTTGTTCCCTTCATCATGCTGGGCAGGAAGGCAGTGGTGGGCTCTGCCAGCAGCCAGCACAGAGCCCTGCTGCTCCCAAGGTCCCAGATCTGCCTCTCCAAATGATTTGCCTCCATGCAGGAATTAGCAGTGAGAGCTCCAAGGTGTTTTCATGCAGGTTGGAAGGTTGCTCAGAGCAGGGGGTAACTCCCTTGGTTTTTTTAAAGGGATTAAGGAAAATGGTGATTGATTGCTGAATTGGTCCTAGAGCAGTGCATTTGATGGGGAGGGCAAAGAAAGGGCTCTGGGAAGGGCTGGTAGGGACGGTGAGCAGCAGGTCCCTCCTTCTCTGTGAGATGAGGCAGTGGAGATGGGTGTTCCAGGGATGCTCCAAGCTGCCCAGCCCTGCTGGCCATGCCCCAAGGGCCCGCAGATGCTGTAGGGCTGCAGTTTTCCTGCAGAAGCACAAAGCACAGGAGGCTCTGCCGTGCCCCCAGGTCACTCCTGCTCCATCACCCTGCACCCCCAGGGACCCAGCCAGGCTGGAGCCAGGCCTGACCAGGGCCTCCCAGCAGGAAAAAGCACAATACTTGAGGAGAGGGAGAGGTCAGTTAAAGTTTAATGTTCAGGCAAATACATCATCCCACTTTAATCAAGCAGCAGCAATTCCTAACGGTGAGTAGGAAGGATGGCTCTTGTCCCCGTGATAAAAAGGCAGGATTGCTCTGAGTTTTGGGAGATAAGAGGGCTGTGTAAGAATTGAATGTTTTGTACCATGTTCAGCCTAAGATGGCTTTATCTTTTGGAGGTTGCCATGCCAGGCCTTGAGCTGAGATGTTTACGATGGGAGATAGAGCAGAGATTAGGGGTTTATGGCCACAGCCAGCCCAGGGCTGGGAGCCACTGCCTGATGGCCACAGGAGAGGGGCAGGAGCTCCTTGTGCTTATAAACTGGATGGGGAATTTGGGTGGCAAAGGGACTGGGTGTTGCAGAGGGACACCTGGGGTCCTGGAAAAGACCCTGTGGTCATTTCTGGCATCCCATGGCCTCACCTCACCCCGAGTACAGCATCACCATCACTTGCTCATGGTTAAGCTCTACAAAACCCATCCTTGGGGTTAAGCACAGGGCTCTGCAGGCAGAGGCAAGGGCACAGCTGGCACCTGTAGGACCTGCTGTGCCCAAAGCTCTGCGTGCCCAAGGACTTCCAGGGCTCGCTCATTTTCTTCCAGAAACCTCAATGCCATCAGAAAGCCTCTGGCTGTGTGACCCAGGAAAGCTGAGGAGGGGGCTCTCCACAGGCCTGTGGCTGATGGCAGATGTCCCTTGTGCTGTGACTGAGCAGCACTTCCACTGCCACCCCTGCTTCATTGTGGTGCCCTTCCCAGAGCATCCCAGACTTAGGGGAGCAAGGTTTGGCTCTGTCTTTTCCTTTTTCAGCACCTCTGAGGCAGTTTGGGGTTTACATCTCAAGGTGTTGGTGCACCCAGCAGAGGGGGACAACGAGGGCCGTCCCAGACATGAGAGCCACACCTCCAGGCAGTCCCCAAAAGCCACTTTCAGGGAGCACCACCCCTTTCCTGCAGCACAGTCTTGCCTCAAAGGACCCCAGCTCCACCTGAGCCCAGGTGAGCCGTGGGTGCAGGACCCCTGCTCCAAGCTCACCACACAGCAAGCCCCTGGAGCAGACACTTACCCAGAGCAGATAGGGATGTCCATCCTTTCAAAACACTCCTATTGCTGCTGCTGGGGTGGGATGTTTGCCAGCCCTGCCCAGGAAAAGGAGCAGCACTGGGGAGAGTGGGATGTTCCACCAGCCACCCCTACACCAGGGAGGGGCACAGCACCACCCCACATCACTGCCCCCTCTCTCCCTTCGCTGCCTCAAAAGGAACCAGTTATGCCCCACTGAGAACTAGTGAAAAAAAATAATCTGGTTTGGGAAGATTTTGGATCATATAAAGATTCAAGTAGCGTTAAGTGAACTAGAAAACCAAGTCCTGTACATCAGCTTATAAAATTTCTAAATAAAATAATAAAAAAGAAAGAAGAGGTGTGACACATCAGTGCAAGGGATGAGGTGGTACAGTAATGCCCCTCCACCCCAGCCCCTGGGACCAAAGCCCCCAGGGAGGTCTGGGTGCCACCGTCCCATGTTCCCTTCCACCACAGAAGTGTCCCCCTCATCTGTCTGTCCGTCTGTCCGCAGGGGGCCGTGGCTCTAGAAGTCCTGCAGCCGTGAGATCAGGTCCTCCTTATTCTTCAGCAGGAACTTCTCACAGGCTTCGAAGGTGGAGCAGATGTCGGAGGACAGCCCCGCCACGTTGGTGGTGACGTAGGTGAGGTACCCCGGCATGGCCTGGTTGTAATAAGCCACCTGCAAGGCACAGGGCGAGGTCAGCAGGGCCACAGGGGAGGGAAGAGCTTCCCCCAGGGGCTGTGGGAGCACAGCCACAGCATCTCCCACCTTGCTCATCTCCTGTGACTCTGGCCAGATGCAGAAGCCGGAGCAGAGCGTCTCCCCGCGCGTGAACTCGGCGCTGGCGGGGTGGGTGGGCAGCGTCACCGAGCGAAAGGCCACCACGTAGGGGTCCCTGGGGACGAGAGAGCCCGGTCAGCTGGCACAGCCTGCGTGGCAGGGAGCAGGGCTCGGGCTGGGCACTCACCCCTTGCTGCAGGGCTTCCGCCGGGACGCCAGGATAACGAAGTCCTGCGGCTTGTTCTCGTCCCTGAGCTTCTGGCTCACCACGTGGTAGATCATGTCGTCATCATCGACCTTCTGGACAAGCTCAGCACTCCTGGAAGGGAAGGGAACCGGTCACAGAAACTCTGCTGTGCCCCTAAATCTGAGCCTTACACATTTACAGCCCACCACCAGACCCAAAATATTTGGGGGGATCCAAAATAGATGTTTGCTCCAGCAAAGCGCGGCCATCAGCCCAGATGGAGCCAGGACAGGGACACACCGTGTGAGGGGTCTCCAGGAGCAAGCAAGGTGTTCCAGATTGCAAGGCAAGATGGATTCTATTACCATCTGTTGTATGGCAGTTGTCTTTTGTCATGTGGGCAGTTTGTCCTTATCTCTTCCACAATCACTCCTCCCTTGGGAGGGGACATCTGCTGATAACAGCTATGGAATGTCACTGCATGGCTGATAAGAACTACAGCATCCCATTGGGAGATGCTCTGCCCAGAGGGAGGAGCCAAGAATTGCTACTCAGATATAATCTGGAGATTCTGGAACACCAGCACAGCTTCTCCACTGGATTTTCCCAGAGGAACAGCAGCTGCCTCTTCTTCCACTGGATCTTCAGAGGAAGACTACACTTTTTCTACAGGATCCCTGCTCCAGCAGAAGCACACCTGACACTGCAGGAGGGCTGTAGCCACAATTCCAGTGGGACTGCTACCAACACCCTGACCCACAGGGTGTCAGGTTGAGTTCTGACTCTGTCAGTGTTGTTCTAGTGTACTGCATTGTTTATTTTATCCTTTTATTTTCTTCCCTATTAAAGACCTGTTATTTCCTGCTCCCATATTTTTTGCCTGACAGCTCCTTGATTTAAAATTTACAGCAATTCCGAGGGGTGGGGAGAGTTTACATTCTCCTTTTCAGGAGAGACTCCTGCCTTCCTTAGCAGACACCTGGCTTTCCAAACCAAGACACAAGGCAACACACTGGCTGCCAGGAAAGCCCAAAGGGATGCTCAAACACAAGGCTTAAGCCTGGGGGTGTATCGGAACTCAGCGCATCCCTCCGGGTGCCCAGAGTTGCCAAGGACCCCACTGGGGGGCTCGGAGACCCTGGCACACAGCCCAGAACACCTGTGGGTTTGATTGTGACCCCTGGAGCAAGTTACCAGCTTTGTATGAGGACCTGAAAGTCACAGAAGTTTAAATAGTATAATAATAAAATTATCACAGGGTGAAAATGTAGATTTTAGGATTTTTTGAATGGGTGTTTTGGGGACAAGATGGAGGAACTTGGGCGTGTCTAGCCTTTCTTCTTCTTCTTCTTCTTCTTCTTCTTCTTAGTCCCTATCTTCTGCTGTGATGTTGGCACT